ATAAAAGTTAAATATATATTTATAGTCCAAAATTAATTTTTTCATCCTAGAAGCAATACTAGGTTAAGTTAAAAATCTTAGAATAATTTGAATATTAATATAAATACATATGAATTAGTCTATTATCTTTTATCAAAGACTTATTGAATACTATAAGCTCTTTATTCTATAGTTGTTTCTTAAAGATTACCTTCATATTTCTTAACATAGATTCATATATATATATATATAAGAATAATTATGAAAGAATTTGATTGACCATACTCTAAAAGGAATGACAAGGATTTGAGAAGGAAATTTAATTATGCTAAAATAAATAAATAAATAAAAATTTAAACTACAAAAGAATATTTCTCAAAGAAGAAGTAATTGCATTAAGTCTTTTGAAATCTTGAGTGAAATTAGAAGACTCCTTTATAGCAAGGGGATATTTCAAATATTTATGGGATAATCAAAGAGTAAGAATCAAAGAATTATAAGCTTACATATATTTTATACTAGTAAAACATACTTTTAAAAAAACACAAAAACACTTCATTTGGTACATAAGGTAATAAAGCCCTTTTAGATTACTTTTTTGTAGAAATATTTAAAAATAAAAAATACATAATTTAAAGATTTTTTTTATAAGAGGGATTTAATAATCTTAGAGGACTTGGAGGTTTAAAATTAATTTTACAAAGTATAAGACTACCTAAAAAGATGGTAAGTTTTTTTGAAATTAATAAAATCCAATCAACTATTTTTATGGTGTAGTTAGATTTTTTTAAAGGATATGATTGAAGGTTATTAGACTTCATTTCAAATTAAAGTATAATTGGACTTTTAAGACTAATTCATTTCCATAAAAATGATAATAATAATTAAATAAAAAAAAAGCTATAACTAATGTTAATAGAATCATAATGAAAATTTTTGACATCTAACTGGTAATAAGAAAAAGATGTCATCTTGCTACATGTTTATTCTTCATGGTATAAAAAGATACTTAAATTTTCTGTTAATTCAATTATAAAGTATAAGAGATTAGGAGAGATTTTTCTACTAATTTAAGAAAAAATAAAAAATCTTAAAAATATGTCAAAAAATAATACTAAAATTAATATAGTGAGAAAAAATTTAAAAAATTAAAAATTTATAAATAAATTATATAATTTTAGCCAAATATTAGAATTAGAAATTAATTGGTCCAAGCTTATTGAATATTAAAATTTTAAAAGATCCAAGGTTTTAATAAAAAAAAATTTAAAAAAATAGATAAACTTTGAAAAAAAAATCAAAAAATTAGTAAATTTATAAAAATATCTTTGAGTCTCTTTCTAAAAATAAGAAATGTAGAATTTTTTTATAAATTATTTACAAAGTAAACTAAAATAAAATTACTTTTCAAGACTCAAGGTACTAAAAATAATTTTAATAGCCAACAATATCCTTTTATCTTTTTAATGTATCTTCACTTTTATATAGACCAATCCTTTTAAGATATTTTAAAATTTTAAAACTAATTCAAAAGTATATATAGAATAAAATATAAATATTAATGAAAATTAAGATTTATAAGATTTTTTAAAAAAATAAATAAAAATATTTAGAGCCAAATAGTATAGTTGAAGCTATAATAATCTTTTAGTGCAAATCAATTTTAAAAGTTTCTATATTTGGGCTAAATATTCTAAACTTCAATAAAGATAGATTAAAAACATCAACATTTGAATGACTTACGAATTGGTATCTAGTTTTTGAATAGTTTTAAATCTCTAATTTAAAAAAATTATTAAGTTTAAATAAATAGTAAAAAAATATAAAAAACTTAAATAAAGATGATAATCCACCTCAATATAAAATCATTGAATTTATTATAATGTATAGAATAGGTTTTTACAAAAATATCCAAATATATCAATTGTTGATATGATTAATTATACTCAAAGAATTGCCCCACTTTAAATTTAGATGACATACTTAACAAACGTAGTAGATCTCATAAAATAAATTAATATTTATGAAAGAATTTTTTATTTTATAATGTAATTTTTTATAATCCATTTATAATCCAACAAGATAATTATTATAGATTTTAAGAACATATTTATGTATCTAGAATTTTAAACTAGACAACATGATTTTTATATAAAATAGCATCCTATCAAATCAAATAAAGAATCTAGAAGGTATTTATATAAAAACAAGTCAATATTACTGTCATAAAACTTCTTAAATTTAAAGATTTTGTATTGACTAAAAAATTTCCTAAAGAATATTTTAGTAGATTATCTTTAAAAAAAATTTAAAAACATTAATAATTAAAAATGATATATATATATATATATATATATATATATATATATATATATAAAAAATAATCTTAAGTCAAATTTTTTGATATAATATCTAAGATTATAGATGTACAACATAAGAAGGCATGCATAAGTCTATTGTAAAGCTTTATTATCAAAATAGAAAAAAATTAAGATAATAGAATAAATTTTAGTTGCTAAAAATAGTATTAGGATCTTAAAAAAATAATATATAAGAATATCAATATATTGCATTATAGTTGAATTATGTGGATATTGAGATAAGATTAGACATATAAACTTGTACAAATTTTTATTATTTTTAATACTCTTAAACTTGCTTCAAAGAAATCTTTGAGCCTAACTTGTCATTATTTACTTTAAATTCACATTATTTAAGTAATTAATTTTGAAATTTTACAATTGCTTGGTTTTAAAAAATAAATTTTTATTATTAAATTTTTCAATTGTTATAAAAAATTGTATAAAAAAGTCATAATTACATTAAAAAAATACGATTATTTCTTGAACTTTTTTATTTCCAATCTATGTTATAATGAAAAATCCAGATATTCTCATTATTTTCTAATTATACTGCTTTTATTACTAATTGGTCTTTGGTTCAATAGACACATGTACAATTCTAAGAAATGGAGGTTAATCAAATTAATTAGATGTAAATAGAAATATGTTAGGTTTATAATATTTTTCACAAAAAACATTAAAAATATTTTTTATACAAAAAGTAGGTCTATAGATTTTTTTAGATATGCAACATAGCTATATAAATTATTTTTTAGATTTTTTTGTCTTTTTGAAACTCATATGTAGACAATCTACAATTTAGATAGTAGCCTACTATCTTTATGATTTTTTAAAAGCTTGTATATGGCTTTCTTATTAATTAATATATGTAGAAGAAAGAATAAGATAATTATTAAACTATTTTAATTCTTTCTTATATTCTTATCATAATTCAAAATTCTCTATTATATTTGTATTTATTAACAACTATTCTAATACATTTCTATCTTTTAATTATTATTATTCATTACCTTCTTCTTTCTTTTTGAATGGTATATGAATACATGTTTTTTATTTTTTATTTTTTAAAAATTTGTATCCTTGACAATTAGTATGGATAAATGTTCTTAAAGAAAAGACAAAATAACTTTTTAATGACTTCTATGTTTTTGCAGCTATAGCATGTTTGCACAAATGTATAATATGTTTTAATTAATTTTGGAATTTCTTTAAATCTAAGTCTCTTACTACCTCAAATTCTTTATTTTAACTTATTTTGATATAAGATGGTAGTAATTTTTCTTTTGAGTAAGTTAATTATTTAATAATATTTAATAAAATACTTTAAAAAAATTGATATGCAACAAATAATACAATTACTATACAATCTTATAGAAACATCTTCATTATAAAAATAGATATTATTATAAAACAAATTATTTAGTAGAAGGTTGGTCATTATCATCTCTAGTTATGTGACTTACGTAAGAATTTAATGCTAAACAAAAAAAAGATTCTAATAACTAAAACACACATAAATTTGCGAGGATAAGGTAAACAAACTACTACAATATTTTAGTAATAATTTCTTTAAATTTTTATTTATAATAAAAATAGTGATTTATCATATTCTGTTTTTTAGATGGATCTATCAATTTCTTTTTTGAAATACAAAATCAATATAAATCAGTCTTTTAATGATTTCTTTATTTGTAAGATAAGTTATTTTTACATAATTTTATAAATATTATTTTATATATAAATATATAAATATATTATTATATATAAATATATTATTATATATAAATATATTATTATATATAAATATATTATTATATATAAATATATTATTATATATATATATATTATTATATATATTATTATATATATAAATATATAAATATACATATATATAATGTTTCTTTCTACTTGTATTTCCTATGGTATTGTATATTAAGAAGATAAATAACAAATCATATGTTTACAAAAAATAAATGCAAAATAAAAGTTTTTTTTTACTAGGATTTGAAGTTATAAATATGCATGATTTTAATTCAAACAGGCTAAGCACCTGAGCCATTACAATTAGCACAAGCACCAAAGCCACAAATATTCTTTTGAATGCGGACAAAATGGAACGGACATCTTGCTACAGAAATAATGCACCTACTTTTCCTACCAAAGGAGGATTAAGACAATGCCCATGTTCCTCTTTAGAATCTCTAAGAAGACATTTGATTGTATTGTGTACAAACTTACTATTGTACATACATACATACCTATATATATATCTACATACGTATATACATGCATACATATACTTATTAGAAACCACAAACTATTTTCACGGATTACTTGTATTTCTTTTTGAAATAATTAAACAACTACATATTCTCAATTTGAGATTTGGATAACTTCTTAACAAATCATTACACAACATACAAACAATTCTAATTTTAACTGCATATGTACACGCATTAAAAATACCAGTGAAACTACAAATCTACTAACGCACACCAACATATATTCTTTTCAGTTACAACATCAAATCACTGCAGACACACAGTTCCTATGAAACCCAAATTTCAAAAAATGGCTAATAAGCTACTATGTGGGGAGTTTATGTCGACATTTGAAAAGAGGTAGGCATGTAGAGAGCAGGTTTCAGGACACGTGAAATATTAACAAATCACTGATATTACATTTACAAATTATATTTTACATATGCGATGGGAAACGTGTCTTGATAACTCTACTGTGCGTGTGTGTATGTGTGGGATAGTCTTAATGGAGTTTGCTTTGTTAAGTAAGAAGGAATGGACATGCACCTTTGTCTTAGCAAAAAACGGTTGAAAGCTAGTGCAGAGCCGGGTGCTACACAAGCAGCTGAGCTCTGAGAAATGCGAGAATATGTCAATACCTTCATCTTCATCACCTTCCTCACTTCGGTTCCTCATTTGCTTCTACCTTGCCAGGTTCTGGTTCTGGTTGTGGAGGAGGTGATGGGGTTGGAAGGATCTTGCAGTGACAAGTATCTCCAACATGCCTTCTGCACTTGACCTTGCAAGCGAGTGGGTTCTTCTCTCGTATGTACAGGGCTACATACTTCACTGGTCTCTCTGGTCTGAAAAACTTACTTGCCACGAGTTTTATACACATTTGTAAGGTTTGTGGTGTCAGAGAGCAACCCGCCAGTATTTACTGTAGGTTACACTACTTTCATAAATGATCTGCTATATGTGCTAGAAATGATTGACAGTGCACGCACCTTTCAATCACAATCAACTTCATGGCTTCGAGACAAAGGTCGTAAACCTTTTCAATCATCTGTGGCACACAATTCCAACATTCGCAAGATCATCTCGTTTGGACCATGGATTGAAAATTGGTAAGAAAGAAGAGCGCTTTTTTATTCATTGATATGCAGACCATAATGAAACAGTGACCGCAATGACTGACATGCATCACCGTGCTGCATGTTCAGTGAATTGTAGCTGCAGGGTGCTATTATTTCTCACACATGGAAAATTGTCTCAGATATACAGAGAACCTTCAAGTAATGGTAGCAGTTGATGTGTGAAACACTCACAACCTGTCGTTCGGACAGGAATCCACATAACGTTCCTCATTAGATATTTTCACCATGGTTTTCAAAATTACTGACAGTTTTTGACTTAATAGAATCTTCATACCAGGTATTCTCGAACAGGCAGATCTTTGTGGGGGTTTTGCAGCTTGGGTGGATCCTGCAACCTCAAATACAGCCATGTTTATTCGGTATCATGAAATCCCCCCGTTTCGATTTACACATTCTAATTCATGACACCCCCACCAGTCACATAGACCAAATCAGACATGCAAAATACACTTGTAACACCCAATTGAATATTTTCATACTTTTGTGGGATTTCGAGACTCAAAGGGTTTTAGAGGAAACGCCTGAAACTCTCCGCAACAGGCTCGAATTAAAGAGGTTCCCGTCGCATTCACAACAATTATTTTAGATTCTGAAAGCCTCAGAATGACGACTGCGGCGATTATCGCAGAATCTTCAAGTCACTCTTGTGCGTTCAAGCAATACCAATGAACTACAGAAGATTAAAATAGTAATATAGATCCACATACCGGCCATATCCAAGGATTAGGCGGGCCATAACACATCTCCACGTTGTACGGTAACTGGTGCGGTGCACAAGATGCATCGTGCAAAGCGTCAATAGGTTCGGGATACTGCCATGAAAGAGGAGGTGGCCACGCCGGCCAATCTTCCCATGGCGGCTGGACTGCTCGGTTCACATTCAACAGTCGCAATGGATCAAAGGAGAAAAGTAGTCAGTAGTAGTTATCGTTTTTGTGTGATCAATCTCATGTAACAGAAAAACAGATTTCACCGCCACCAACGCTTAATTCTCTGAAGTGAAGGTTTATGTCATGAAGCATTCTGAGGCCGACTTCAGCTCGACAAATGCAGCGGTGAATTTTTAGTCGAGAAAAGTTACGTAGTCGCTTACATGCGGAACTCAGGGCACTCATGCTCTCCACTTGTGGCAAGTAGAACTCAGGGAACTCTCCGATGCGCATCTCTGGTGACTCGGGTGGGACATACGCCGCACCCTCAAAACCCTCTTTCTCAGCGGGCATTTTACTGCGGCGCTACAAAGTCTCACCACAAAAACAACGCATAAATTAGTCACATCCAGCATAGCCTCGGGCTTCCTCGTAATCCCCTCAGCCAGCGACATAAAGCCTGCAAAGGTGCATTAAAAGGAACGCCTACAACCGGATCAATCAACTAAACGATTGATACAATCCCTCAACCAACTGACCTGCATTGGGCAATTCTACCAGCAGAATCGCTACAACTTATCCCCAACCACTGGTAACGATCCGAAATAACCTCGCACTAATCCAAGCAGAAACAGAAGTCCTTCGGGGACTACCCCAAGAACGACAAATTTTTGCTCACAGAAATTACAAGTTGCTTGAAAAAACAGAGGACAGGTCTAATGAGATAGCACTCCTTGAGAGATGTGGTAAAGAGTGGGATATCCACGAACCAGACGAAGATGGCGCATGAAACGAGAGAAACCCCTTCCTGAGGTCGTACCCATTGGGATGTCATGGATGCCATGCCATCGCCATCGTCCCGAATGCACAACAACAACGAAGAGCAAAGCAAAATAATTACTCTTCCTAGCAATTCTCAAACTGCGGTTGCCAAGTCTATGTCCATTCCTCCTATTCTCCCTCTTCTTCTTCCTCCTCCACCTCCTCGCCATTGATGAGCGTCATTGCTCTGTTTTCATGAGCTTCAGTCTGTTCTCCATTCCTCTTCGGCACTACAAACCACCCTCCAGTTAGGAAGTGTGGTGCACTCACTCATTCTGGTGTTTTCATTTAATGGTTCGACCCGTGTTGATAAAAGAGGGTTTTTGGTGGGAGAATTTGTGAAAACTGTCACACATGCCGAGCTAATGAATGGTTGATTTGATTTTATCTGATACCACATTGTTCGATTTCGTAATTTTTTATGCCTTGTTGAGAAAGTGAAAGTTGACGAACATTGGGAAACAAGAAACAAAAAACAAAAAACAAAAAAATAAGTAAAAAATAAAAATGGCAGCGTAGGACCTACACAGTTGCCACGAATGAATTCATGATTGTTACGCTGCTTTCACAAACGCCAATGTAGAATTTCAAATTGCTAGAGAGTTTTTGTGTATAATACAGTGTCTTGCCAATCCGTTGAAAAAGTATTGTCGAACCGAGAGATATTGGAAATTTAATAATTAGGATTTTAGAAAGTCTGTTTTGAGTTCATTCAACTGAGTCATTTTATGTGGTTTAAAATTCAATATAAGTGAAATTCATGAATTATAATAGTGGAAGCCTTGAAACAGCAAAGTCTTTGACAGCAACAGTTCCAAACAGAAAATATTTGTCCCACAAAAGTATTTTGAATTTTCTCAGATTTTTCTTCTTAAAATAAAGGAAATTAAACCATACGTTAAGCAACAAAACAAAAACAAAAACAAAACAAGAAAGACAAAAAAATAATTGCTTCATCATTTTAAGGCTGAAGGGTCTCAAGCTGTTGAAATAAGAGCAGCAAATAAAGGTAACAGGCTTGCCATCACCAATATCCTACTCTATCGATGTCCCTCAAATGAACAGTATGTCCAAATGGTGTTTACTACAGAGGACCAATCGATTAGGATACCTCTTCTCGAGGAAAAATGACTATTCTATACGTTTGGCAAATCCCTTCAACCTTGTGTCCAATACGAAGTTTTTATGAGAGATTCAAACCTAGCAGTTGAGAAAGCTATACTTGGCAGCTTGGACTCGCCACTGGAAGGGGAAATTAGGTCGTTATCAGTGCTCAGAGGTTCGCCATCCAACAATTTCAACCATAGCAATTCATTTAGCTGGTCCCCACGTTCCAGAACTGCTCATATCTAACCAATGCGAATATTCCTGTACGCATCATTGAATATACCAGGTAGCCTGGTGCGAGGACGCCGTTCAGAACATCAGGCATCTCCCATGGGATAAGAACTTGAAAGCTAAGGCAGCGAAAGCTTGTGTTGTGAGCGATCCGCGACTTGACTTCCGAAAATTCCAACAAACACGGATCTGCATGATCTTAGTCACATGGAGCTTGTAGTGCTTCAAGCAACAAGCTTGGATGACCTTTAGACCACACCGTCCTCTTGGAGCAACGACAGGTGACATCCAAAAATGAATGCGGTAACATTCAGCAATGGTAGCCCGTCAGCCATATTGTATTAAGGCACCCAAGAATTTCGTCATGTCCGTGTGTGCATTCAAAACAGGGCTTGTTGACTCATTGATATCAAACTTTAGCTTCTGTTGCAAGAAGGTTTTCACTGCTTCGCGAATGGCGATGCCATCTTGCTTGCTACCCTTTAGACCGAACAAAATATTGTCAGCAAACCGCAGGTACTTCAGCTTCTTCGCTCCTTTGTCTTCAGAGGAACTCATTGCACCTGCCCCGAACATGGGAATAAGCTCATCCTCCACGTAGCAGTCCAGCTCATGGAGTAGAATGTTGTTACACAGTGGGGAGATAATTGAACCCATTACTAGCTCTATGTTGTACTGAGTGCGATCAGTGAGGTTGTAGATGTCAACATACCCGGCATTAAGAAGCTTGCGCATTAAATCCTCCATAGATTTTGAGTAGAGAACGGGAGCCATGAGCTCAAGAAGAATTTCGTGATGAAGCTTGGTCCAAATCTTCTGCAAATCAATTTGAACGAGCCATGAAATTCCAATCCAGGATGACCGCAATACCTTAAGACAAGTGTGGCAATTCCGCCCTACGCGAAAGCCATGGCTTGAGTCTCGAAAAGTAGGCTCAAAAGCAGCCTCTAAAACCTGAAGCATAGCTGTTTGAACCACTTTGTCTATGGTAGAGGCGATGGAAAGAGGCCGTCCCCCTTCTGGTGTCGGGAGGGTTATGCGTTGCGCCGGCTTGGGAGCGTATCTATGCCTTCGTAGCTCCTCTGATAGTCTTTCAAGGCCTCGTTCAGTCAACTCTGTTTGGGCTCTACCGTCTATGCCCGGTGAAACTGTTCGATGAAGTCTTTCATAAGCGGCCCTGAGATTATCCACATCATACACATTCGCATACGAAATCCTATTATCCCTTCGAGATTCGGTCCCTTGGAGAACGTGGTAAAGCCGATAGTGGATGCCCCTTTCTAAAATGTGCCTAACCCTGCAAGTCGGTAATTCTGATTGCTGCGACTTCTGCACAAAGGAATCACAAGGAACGAATATTGCATCATGAAGAGAAAATGATTCACAAACCTGGAAAGTAGGGAGGTGATAGAAGACAACAATCTCAGAAACCGATTACTTAGTGAGTGATAGATTGCATTAGATGAAATCATCCATTTGAAGAACTGATCACGTTACAGCCTTCGGGAAATTAACCTTGATTCCAAAGGTAGAACATCCACGCAGTCCACGCCCCTTGTACATAGGCTGTATAGGTAAACCCAGGCTTTGTTCAATTACTCCAAAAGCCTGCAAGAGAATAATTATGAGTTAGCTCAATTGACTCCTTCGTACATTTCTTGTGGAGATCAAACACAACCCATCAGAAGCACTGCGTAAGATGGTATGTTCATTAGCGCTATTGAATCCTTTGGCACTTCCTGCTCGTATCCAATCTCCTACTAATGTAAGACTACTATTAAGGATTTACCTTTTTTTTTTCTTTTTTCTTTTCTTTCTTCTATCACATAAAAAATCATGACGTGATCGGACGATCCTGACATGGTGGTCCATTACATGAAGCTGGAATGCGGTCTAGTAAATGGAAGCTCTTGCAACCTCATGCCTCTAAATTGATACAAACGGAAAAACCAAGTCAAGTATCTCAAAATCGCGGGACAGAAATCAAGTCAAAATTCAAGCTAAATTAACCCAAATGCTATTGCCCGCACATAATTAGACACTCCTTCAGTTGATTCTCATTTCCCATTACTCAACAGTACGACACAACCAGTCATTAACACGTAGAATCGGACTTCGAATCGCTCACCCGATCCAGAGCGTGAGCAGCTTGAGCAGAGGAATTCGAGAAGAACCAGGGACGCACACGGTGCCAATACTGCCAGCTCTCCCACGGAACCTTACGCATCATGACGACCCCCAATTTCCACCACCGAGGTCGACTAAAACCTCATTTATTCATAACCCTGCGACGTGCCCCTCGCGGCGAATCCAACGTACGCGTCGAGAAACGCCACAAAATATACGTCAAGTTGCTCAGTTCGAGGTAACGTGACTCGCAAGTGGCTCTGTAATGGCTGCAGAAATGCGGCCCTTGCGCACACCTCGGCAGCCTGTGGCTGAATGCGAAATTCCCAGGATGATTATCAGTGACGCGTTGTGTCCCTCGCTTCCTTCGCAGATTAATCACAGCCAAAAATTGCTACTGGAATCGCATGAAACCCTAATGAAAGTCCATGTTCTTCGCATAATCAGGCTGCAGCAAACTGCTAAAACCCCGACCCTAATTCTCAAAGGCCTAAAATCCTAATTCCGCGGTTATAGGGCTCGAACCTCAGTGGGCGTAAATGCGTGCCGCGGATACATGCTCCACCGTGTATTCGTACTTGATGTGTACTATACGTATTTAGTGTGCGTTTAGTTTAACATTAATTCGTTTGTTGTGTATACAAATGTGGACATGCAAGTATTTCATGTTTGATGTTTGGTTTAATCACTTGTAAAGTAGAAATTTTATCAACAACCACTCTATTTCTTCTCTAATTACGTGAATTGTGTCATTAGAGTGGTTTTTGATAAAATTAAAACTTAAAAAAAAAAAAAAATCATGCTAGTTTTTGTTTAATTTAATGATGAAGTGAATGGTTTCAATTATACATTGTATGTGTCTTTGAAACTCTTGCATTTTTTTTCTGAAAGTAAAGAATTAATTTGATAAATAGAAAAGATTATATGGTCCATGAAATAAATTTTTAATTTAGTATTATGTGATGATGGTTCTAAGTAATTAAATATTTTGTAAAGCTTGGATTTTATTTTGGGTTAAATTAAGTGCAAAAAATGCAAAAAAAAAAAAAAAAAAAAAAAAAAAAAAAAAAAAAAAAAACCTTATCCTTTGGATATTGTATAACAAAAGAATGACACTTTTTAAGAAAAATAAAAATAAAATATTTAAATAAATATTAAGAAATGCAGATTGTAAAAATTATATACATATAATAGTAAGACTTGAAACATATACAAACAAGTTATATTTGTGCAACCACTAAAACTTTTACTATACAATGTTTAAAAGTATTAAATTTATGCAACACATAATATCAATTTAATTAGTATTGAGCATTTTGTTGTTTTTACTTCTTTTTTGTGAAGTGTTCAAGATTAAAAGCATAAAATTTTATCTTTTTTATATCTAAAGACTTATAGTAAATAGTTTTTTTGTACAATCTATAAGTTAAATTTTTAACATCTAATTTGTTTAATAAAAAACCGAAGATAATGATAAACATATATTATTTATGATGACAAGAATTCTTTAGAATGTCAACTTTATCATTATTTTTTTACAAAACCAAGTACTAAAAACGTATTAAAATAGAATTTACAAATAATTTATCATTATTATTATTATTATTATTCTGTCATGTAAAATTTATCATTTTGACTTTATTTATTTTGATAAAAAACTTGATTCTTCAAAAATGTTTGCTGAAGAGTACATAAGCATAGATGTTAGTTCTATTCAGAACATTCAGTCTCTTTGCTGAAACATTAGCATATTCAAAATCCATATTTTTACATGTATGTATTCACAAATTAAAGTGGGTAAGATGTCCTCATTTCTTTTTAAAGCTCACTAGAAAACAATGTAAAATCTACCATATAAAGTCATGTTTTACATTTTTATTGTAATCAAAAGAAATGATTTATTTAAGTTGTTGATTATATATCTGGTTTTTTTTAAGTACTTTAAAACTTTAGTTTTGGTTGCCATCCTTTGCTTGTTTTAGCTCCCTTTCCAGCATAACCTTAAACAATTCGTAAAAGTTTATTATGATATTTTTTTTAATACATATAGTACATGATTTCAAATTTATAAATGAGGATGTCTGTTGTCGCACACACACACTAACAGGCATGTACTTTTTATTCTTATAATAAATTTAGTGATACAAATATAATTTCTATGAATACTTAAATAAATGGTGTAGTCCCAAGCCTACGATACTTATTTTCAATACATATCTCAGGATTTTATTTCAAGTATATTACTTTAAGCTTGGTTAATTTATTAAATCCGATTCTTTAATTTTAAAGTTGAATGATCTGAAATTTTTAAAAGTATTCAGAATTCAAGATGTAATTTATTCAAGTGGGGCTTTTATTTTATTTTAAAATCATTTATCTAGTTTTTTATAATTTATCTAAGGAAAGCTAATATATTCACACCACAAATATGAAATTTAATGAACATTTGAACATTTGAATATTTGGTTTCATGCAACTTATATTTAGTAACACTATAAATGTACATAAGACAATGTCCTCATAAGAAGCATTAATGCATAATTTATCCAAAAATAGAATGGAAGTTGTACCATAATATCTATAATAATTGTAGCATTGGTCGTAAGCTGGTCTGGGCTTCAAATGAGGCTTGTTAATTGGTCTTGAAGGATTGTAGTTATTATTATTCCCCATAATTCTTATTTGGAAATTATTATCGTTGTGGTGTTTGCGATTGGAATTTCCTTGTTCATGTCCATAATTCAAATGATATTCCTTATTTGAGCGCTTATAAAGGCCAATCATTTTGCACTGTCGATGCCTTTCACTACTTCTGCTTCCACTCTTGCTTCCACTTTGCTTATAATCATCTCTGTATAAAAAAGTTTTATTAAAAATCATGTTAACATATCATTTCATTAATACACCAAAAGAAAAGAAAAGGTACATTTCATGCGACCAAATATACAAAATGAATACGTGGAAAATATGAAAAACGAAACTAAGAGATATGTATGAACCTGTTCGTTATTCTTGTTTTCTACGTATTACATGCCTATAAACTGATTTCTTATCCATAGTTTATTTATGAAATTGAACTCTTAGTTTCAGCCAAGAAGTGACTCAAATTGCAACACTACAAAGTGGGTTTCATAATAATAATAATAATAATAATAAAAAAAAAAAAACACAAACATATCTCGAGAACCCAAATTCCCGGAGAGACCCCACATGCATCTCAGCTGTGCAATGAAATCTAAATGAAGAAAAACAACAAACAAATCAAACATATCGAATCAAAACTAAACACGAAAAGTTTCCAGCTTTGTGGGCCCACAACTCCCAGTGCCATGTGGTGTGGGCTGATGATAAAGCTCTCGAGCTAAAACACACACAAAAACATAACTATATGTGTATATATATAGTTGTGTTTCTGTGTGTGTGTGTGAAAGTGAATGGAATAATATGAGAAAACACACACACACTCACAGAAAAATATGTTTATATACACATATGTACATACGCACACACACACGCACACACAGAGACAGACAAATATATGTATATATATATATATATATATGTGTGTGTGTGTGTGTACAAAAGAATGAGAGAATTGGATGATGTGCGAGAGGAGGAGGAAGCGGAGAGGCAGGGCAGGGCAGGGAGATGGAGCATTACATGGGGCTGGGGAAGTGGTCACCGACGGCACATGGAGCGGAGAAGGGGAGGCAAGGGTGCAGGTGCTTCACCAGCCGAGGATGCTCCGTCTTGATGTGCTCCTCCAGAAACTGAGCATCGTTTTTCTTCGCCCCGTTGTACTCCGTCCTGCACTCCGTCTCATACGGGTTGGCATTCGGTGGACCCGGGTTCTCAGGACACGCACACAATCCTATCTTCGGTGAAAACATGCTTCTGTTCACTCCCCCCGTCGGTGGTAGGATGAAACCTGATCGCAAACATATCATACAAACAAACAAGCATACAAACATAGCCCAATTAGAAGAAAAAAAGGACCATCCGAGCTTGTCCCCTGTAAGTCATGAGTTATCAAAGCAGATCGAACAGCAGCATGGATCTCATGTGGTGATGGATTCAGCACATGTGTGTTCCTTTTCACCAGTTTTTGGGGGCCATTCTGAGTACAGCTTGTTTCCACATCGTTGCGTCAAACATTCGACCTTCGATTTGATTTCGCACAGCTCCTTGCCCAAAGCGTCAGCCTTCTTGTTGCACGCATCGTGGGCCACTGGCTCCGGTGGCTTCCGAACCTACGGATTTGCATGAGTGATAATAACGGACTGATTTGAACAAGAGTGGTCTGAGAATATGATGGAGGTCTGTGGTGAGGCGCAGCTTTGGGACGAGGGGAGTTCATGACATGCATACCTCTCTGTGAACAGGAACATAAAAGTTCCCATACGATGAGTTTGTGGTCTTCCATGGATGCCGAGGTTGGAGTGGAGATTGCAAAAACTCTGTCATTTCAACACACTGCATCTTAATCCCCTTTTCCATTGTTTATCAATCTACGGCACTCTACCGATGGCAATACAATTGATTAGCACAAATGAATTCCACGATGGATATCCTGTGAATTGTATTGCTATCAACTGAGAAGAAGCCCACAACACGATTCAATGCATTCTACAAGAGGAGACTTGGTTTCGATAAGCTTCAGTTCATCCATGTGATGGACATTTAAGCTTCTGGGATCGAAGTGTGGAGGTGATAGACAGAAATTTGGTTGAGAAAGTACCCATCGATGCAGCCACTCATCAATCCCGTAAGGATGAGTACTTCTCCACCTCTCACGCAACTACAACTTGTAAAAGTAAAGCTGGGTCGGCGGATTGGTCCACTTCCAGCAGCTCTGGGGATCATCTATCAAGTGAGTGCAGCAGGCTTGGATCAGAGAGGAATGCATTGCGCTGCGCATTGCAGCTAAACACTCTAACATCCCAAAACTTGCTGGAGTTATGTGCGAAAGTGTGTAAAAGAAGATAAGCTCAAATAATGAGAAACAGACTTCATAACAATTATGTAAATTACTAACAAGGATGTAAAACAAAATCATGAAGCTGATGGCTAATAGGAGTAGATCTCACGAGTAACCCAAATTTATGAAGAGCAACTGAGATGCTACCATGTCCAGGAATGGGAGCGAGCAATAAAACCAAAGTGATAGTTTGGGGCTGCGAATTACGCACCGAGTGAGGTGTTGCATCATCATGTTCGCTCGAGATTGAACTTGCATTGTGGATTGTGCTGAAAGGTCAGATGGGAAGAGGCATAATCAGGAGGTGTCAAGCGACAAGTCGGAGGTGTATACGATAAATTTCAGTATTTAAGACAACAATCGTTTAACCCTTGACTCTTGACGTGGATCTCATGAAACCGTCGGTCTCACCCAGAGCCTGGAGTCCTGCTGGAATAAACCAACCAGGAACCGGGTGCCTAGGGTCGTAGGAAAGCTGATGTAAGAGTAGAGCAAAGAACTCTGAATCACTTTGCAGAGGAGGCTTGTTTCTGACAACAATAATCAGTCAAAGCTTCAAAGTCTGACTGCCAGCACTGTTTCGATCTTGAGAAACGCCTTCACATACTGAATTGAAGCAAAATTGTCGCGTCTGCAGTATCAGTAGTGGAAAATACTGACAGCGATTGCATAAATATCATGTGTATCGGTTGAGAGACACTCTCGTTGATCGATTTTAAGAACAAAAGAATTCTTTGACTCTCTTCCCAGGCTCACTAAACTGAAAGAAAAAAAATTTATGAGCACAACAATGAGAACTAAGAAGGATCCTCCAGCAAAGTTCTAAGATTGTCTTCTTACGAGCAACTATCTTCGGTTGATAGCTGCAACGTCATGTTCTTTTACATTACGCATCAATTCTTATGCTTCACCAGCAGGAGTAATCTTCAAGTGGCTTCATACATGATTATTTGGCTTTCTAAACAATCGCCCATCTTCACCTCTCTTGCTCTTCAGCACCTGGTGCACGACAATCAGCAAAAACTATATAGAAGAGCGGTAGCGCAGAAGTGAACAAGACATCCTGGTAATTGCAAGTAATAATGAAACCAAACCATCAAGATTATTGCTCCTTCCAACTTATGCGTAGAGGTCCAGGGCTGGATTGGAGGGTGAGTAAACCCTATACAAACGAACAATTAAGGAAATTCTCCTACCTTAATAGCAAACAAGTAAAAATCATAAAATTAAGAGTTACAATGCCGAGCTTCATTAGTTGCAAACAAGCCAGTTGAAAGTTGATATAAAACCAATGACGACGGCAATCCAGTCAGAGAAGGGGTTATGAACACTTGCAGCCACACCAACAAAGTTATTGACAGCTATGACTATCAAAGATCGAGGACATACAACATCAGATCCGATTAAAGATTTCAAAGGAATGACCATGGTAGGCTTTTAGACCTGCATAGCACATACAATGAAATGTTTTGAAGCATGTGTTTGAACTCTACATTGAACAGAATACAAAGTGGCTGACGCACTAGCCCTGTATCACATTGGTCTTCTCAACAGCAAACTTGCGAGATTAACAGAGATCTACAATATGTTACACATTGTTGTACCAATGGAATGACATAGGTTGCACTTCAATTTCATTCTTAACCAACTAAGTGGGCAGCAGGGAGTTCTGTACGACTGGGTCCCTGTATGCAGTGATGAAGTGGATGAATCCTAAACCAAGGCACAGGGCCTGAAATGTTGTCCAAATGGCCTGACTTATAGCCCGATCCTTTGCGCTGAACACACACTCCATAGTTTCTGCAATGTCTGTGAGCACCTCCAAGTTTTGCACCTGCTCAAAAACCCCAACGAACGAACGTCAAAAACTGAAAAAATTACCCTTGATAAATACAGCACACTTTTTTGAAAAAATGGTCTTCATTCTAGCATTCTTCAACTACCTGATTGTTCAGCTGCCCCACTTTCATCTGGGCCGTACTCTTTATTTTCTCTGCTTCTTCCATTTGGTGCGCCAACAATGCCTTTTGCTCATCCAACAACTTCACACACTCGTATTTCTCCTCTGGCCATGGCACCGACGAAACAAGGAGACTCTCGTTTGAAGTTTCTGACACCACAACCGCTCTTTGGCTTCTCTCTTCTCGTTCCTGTTCTAACCTCTCTTCAAGCTCCTTCCTCAGTTCTCTCTGCTCCTCAAGCTGCGCAGAGAGCGACATGACCTGATTATATAGCTCTTTTATCTTCTCTTCATCGTTTGGCAATCTCTCATGTAGTAGCTCCTTCAAACTAGTTTCACTTATGAGCCGCTCATCTCGCTCCTCCTCAAGTTTTCGAGCCAACTCTTCCTGTAATTTGGTTTTCTCCTCCAGTTGCACAACATATTGCACCCTCTTATTGCGTTCCTGTTCCAACGCTTCCTCATGCATTTTCGCTTCTCCCTCTGTTTTTGCCACATGTTCCATCCTTTCTCTGCGTTCCCAATCCAATTTCTCTTCAATCTCTTTCTTCAATCCATTCTGTGATTGCAACTGCGCAAGTAGATCATTCAGCTTCTTCTCAGCGTCAGGTAACATCTCATGGAAAACAGCTAGGCCCGCTTCACTTTGGATCCGCATAACCCGCTCCTCCTCAAGTTTTCGTGCCAACTCTTCCTGCAATCTGGTTCTCTTCTCCAGTTGCGCAACAAATTGTAACCTCTCAATGCGTTCCTGTTCCAATGTTTCCTCATAAAATTTCGTTCGTTCCTCTACTTTTGCCACATGTTGCAACCTTTCCTTGCGTTCACAGTCCAATTTCTGTTCGACCTCTTCCCTCAATCTTTTCTGATCCTGTAACTGCGCAATCAGTGTCTCAATTTGGTCGCGAAGGTCATTCAACTTCTCCTCAACGTCAGGTAACATCTCGTGAAGCACCATGAGGCCCGCTTCGCTCTGGATCCGGACAACTCGCTCCTCCTCAAGTTTATGTGTCAATTCTTCCTGCAATCTGGTCTTCTCCTCCAATTGTACAACATACTGTACCCTCTTATTGCGTTCGAATTCCAATGTTTCCTGAAGTTTTTTCTTCAAATGAATCTCCTCCTTCAGTACTTGCGCTACATGCTGCACTCTCTCACGTTCCTGCACCAAATTTGCTTCAAGTTTGTTGCTGAAGTCAACCTGCTCCTTAAACTGCACTTCCAGGAATAGCACCTCATCACATAGAACTTTCATCTTCTCCTCCACGTTGGGCAGAATTTCATGTAGCACCATCAACTTTGCTTCATTCTTCAGACGCTTTCCGCATTCAGCCTCAAGTTTACGCTTTAACGACAACAAGTCTACTTGACAACGAATCTCCTCAAGCTGTTTCACTTGCTTCTCAGTTAACTGCTTGGGACCGTAGGTATGCCTCAGAACTTCCTTATGTGCAGAAGACCCTTTCACTTCCGCGTTATTTGCTAACCCTCTTGTCAAGCCTGCATGAAAAATTGCCATTGAAATCAGAGTTCAGCATAACGCAGAAGTGCTCTAGGTATGACAATTAATTAAAAATATACGTACATGACAATCAAGAGGAGTAACATGTTGAAATGCATTTATTTTGCATCAATTGTACGTGCATCCGGAGAAGAATGAGAAAACAACTGGATGGAAGAACAAAGAAGAAAATGAAAACATGGTGCCGCCTAGGAGGAAAAAAATCAACATAAATATTTTTGTGTTGAAGATGTAAGTTCGGTATTCGATGATGTAATTGTAAGACGATAAGCTTGACCAAGGCGCGTCGTAGAGGTGGGTTAGACCACACTTACTTCCCAATGAAGCATCGTCTACTCCCTTCTCATCCAGAGTTGTCTCAGAGCCAGAACCTCTAAGCACACCATGTCCTTCAATGTTTTCTGAGATTTTCATAGTATTATGAAGATCCGCATTCGACTCTGAATCCAGCTCTTTCAGAAGTTGCTCTTCTGATACATCGTTCAGGTCTATCTTCACTGGAACGTCATCCAGTTCCTTCATTTCTGCAGACGCAACAATTAATGATGAAATGCAGCCCTTTGGAGTGGCTACACAACAAGTGAGAACAAAGGATATTCCCTTCTAAATCTTGTCCAGTTTCCAACCCACCAGAAGTCACTCAACTTTATGGTTATTTCTTTTTCGTCAAAGACTTAAACCATGAAACATGTGTACGTACTTCTCTCACTTGCAATTATGATCATCGTTCTCATCAGATCATTTATCAAAGATCGTAAGAAAACCCTCTCCACCTTTAAGTATCAACACTATGCAAGTTTTCAGTGTAACCTAAGTTGGCTAAAAAACAGCTACAGGCCAAATATTGTGGATAAATTTACAGGCCCAACATACTATAAGACTTCCAAAAAAAAAATGATGACTGGAAATACCAAGGTCCTGAGACATTCCGTTCTTACACTGTCACCACACAAAGATGACCCACCTTGCTCATCCTCGTTCTCAGAAACCAGTTTCTTAATTTGATGTTCAGACTCACTAGCCTCTGTGCTTGTATCTGTTCCTTCTTCACCACTGGAGCTGAAGATCCCATCCACTTCGTTCACATTCATCTCCACCTCTTCATTATTCGAGGTGTCAAGTACGGGCAAATCTGGCGGTTGAGCTCCAAATTGGTCGAAGTCGATGTCAATATGTTCGACTAAATCCACATCTTCCAGACCCGTATCTTTGTGTTTGAGATAGACAGAGACATAAAACTGTCTTAGTACAAAACCAATCTCTCCTACAGAAACCAGAACGTACACGCGTAAAACATTGATTGCATTCAAGACCTGATATCCAGCAGATCTATGTATAACTTGTGCAGCATCTACATACAAAGTGCCCCATTCGTCCCGTCCAATTCACTAGTCAATCTAGTAACTCCCTATCGAAAAATAAAGGGATAAATTTCTGGGTTCTTTCTGGTCAGGCTTGATCTCGAAAAACTGATTGAGCAGGACGGATCATATACCTGATGGGTCTAAGATGTGTTCAAAATTGCCGGCAAAATCTGCACTATTGCCATCATCCCCCAAGGACCTAAATTCAATGGCTTCCTTAAGCGGCTCACTTGCATCCCCTGAAGCATTGTCCTCCCCTTTATGAACAGTCAAATACGATGCAAGATCGAGGGGGCTCTCTTCCAAAACCCCTGTCTGGTCATCGGGGACCACAGCTGCCTGCAGGTGCTCAAGCTCAATATTAAAACCAGCCATTTCCTGCTGCTGAATGACAGCAACATTTATATTTACACAAAACATCATTGTCTGCATTTAGTTCACCGCTCATAAATTTTCATGGATTCTAGTCACCTAATCCAAGATCTCCTGTGTACACAACTATCTTAACTGTACCATTCTGTAAGACCTAAAGGCGCAAGAAGGTTCATAGTTTGTACCAACAAAAATTTGATGTGGCAACCCTCCGAAAGCTCGATGATTGCAGCAAAGAAACAAATTCTGCATAATATCTTGACCTGATTCATCATGCTTAAGAGGTCACGGCCGCAAAACCTCGACTCCGCTAGTTACGAAAAGAACAATTCGAGAGAGAATCTATCTTTGTTTATAATAGAAAATAGATGGAGGACAGAAACTGCACTACCTGTGAGGTAAACTCTTCAGGGCTCTCCCCGCTAACCCTTTGATGCTCGGTATTGTAGTCTTCCTGGAGGTCTGCATCTTTCCTGCTTCTGTTTTCTTCGATGTTATTCTCATTTTGATGAACCCCTCCCTCATCCAATACTTCAACGCTTTCAAGTGCTGAGCTCTCTTCAGCTTTTTCCATCAGCTCCAACGCATCGACATACACGCCAACCCACGAATCCTCTATCACAAGGGAAGGTGCATCATCCAACATATAAATCACACGATCCACTAAAACATCGTTTTCTTCAAATGTTTACAGGTAGTCCCGGAGAAATTCACGACACAAATCGAGAGGAACCGATAAAGGGAAAGATGAAAGTTTCCATTCAGTAAACATCAAACATCCGATTGCACCTATCGAATGATAACCTAAACGAGGCTGAGCAAACTATTCCGACACGGCTAAAGAGACAAACAAAAGAACCCATGAAAAGCGCGCAAACTAGCCCAGCCCTCAACAATTCAAAGCCTGCGAGAGAATTAGCCTCTAGTGGGACCGAAATCATCATCTAAAGTGCATGAAAATTGGCGAGATTAGGGAACCAAAAGATGACAAGGCAAGCCAGACACTTGGCTTGTCTGTGTTGAAGCAGTCCACTTAGGAATCCGGAGTTTGCAATGCGACTACTAACCCGTCACCGTGAAATCCTAATTCCGTTTCCTTGCAGTATTTAGCACTTCTGTGCTTTCTGAAGGCACAACAAACATTCTCCAAGCTTTTATCTCCATACTTGGCTACTCCACCCTAGTACTCTGGACCCCACCTTCGCTTACACACTCAGCTAAGCTTTGGTGTTTAGTTTCATTGAACATGTTAAATTTGCGGCAGGGTAACTGAGATTCACCAATTGCTATTTGACATTAAGGGTTTGGCAGTTGTGATATTAAGCCAGTATTTTGTTCCATGGTTTGAGAAAAATGTTGCAGGATGTTGTTAAGCCTGAATATCAGAGTAGATGATCTTTGCCAATGTCCGCAATAGTAACAAGAAATGAAAAAAAAAAAAAACCTGAGTACGTACTAAATTCATTGCTCCTCCGTCAAAAGTGTCACTCACTCAAGATGCGAACTACGTTGGACTAATCAAAAAGGGCAGTTGCTATGTCGTGCGACAAAATCCCAAATTAAATATAACTTCAATGTTCATGCTAAATAAAGCCTAGAAACAAAAAAAATCATGAAAATTGGACAACCATTCTGATTGAACTTCCCGCTTGCTTAGCAATCAACAGCTCCATTTCTGTGCCGTTTACCGAAATCGAATCGCCTTCTAGCCAGCTGCGGCAACCAGAGTGGCCCACCGTGTCCCAAGCATTCAAGTAAATAAGCCGCTCTGCCGCGGATTAATCGTGCAAAACGTAGTGAATCTTCATCACATTTCCCGAGGTCCACCTCAAGATAGATGCGCTTCGTTGTGCGCTGGAGGCATCTCGAAGCCGACGTCTGGCGCAATTGGCCACGTATGGGTTCTATATTTACGTACTGAATAATCGCAAGGAAGTAAGTCTACCAATCTTGTTGCCCAGGTACCCTCGCAGCAGTCTTGCGTTGACACAATTCATCCGTGCTGTGATAGGTGTCGTCCCCTCAGCGATGATCACCAAGATCAGCACCAACAGCTTCAATCGATCACACACGTCAGCCAGTGATACGTCTCAGCACCATCTTCTCAACTGCTCTCACCGTCAATATAACCCCAGCAATCTTACGATACTTCCAAATTATCTCTCAAACTCTCTACTTCAACATTCGAAGTTCAGCTTCTGTTTTTTCTGCAGTTGGATAGTTCGGTACTGAATCTAATTTCCAAGTACCTAGGCTTGCGATTGGAGCACTTGTCGAGCGAGAGAAGAATCACCTTGTATCACCACTCAGGCAATTAGATACCAATGGCGCACCACCAGAGCCTTACAGACAAGGCGAAGAACTTGTTGCATGGCACTCACAACCACGCTGCAGGTACACGCATTCAACCACTACACATCTATCTGCTCCAATTTGCGACCACTGTCAACCATCAAGAGAATGTTTTGCCTCCCTCGATCACCTCATGTTCACGATTCGTTTTTTTTGCACTCTGGAACTCTTTGGCTTGTTCTCGTGATCTCACAACTGTTGTGAACTTGTTGACACAGACCATCACACATACGGCATCGGAGGCCCAACGACCGGCCACACTGCTACCCACGGCACTCACGGCACCCATGGCGTTGGCACTGGCTACGGTGCTACTGCTGGTCACACAACGGGAACCCACGCGACAGGGGGGGGATTGCTTGGCAAAGTAGAAAATGCCATTGCAGGCCACGGCACGCATGGAACCCACACCACCGGCACTGGCCTAGGACACACCACCGGTACTGGCTATGGAACCCACACAACTGGAACTGGCTATGGAACAGCACCAACTAGTCACGTCGGCGCAACGCCGCACGTCACAGGGACGCATCTAAGCATGGCGGAGAAGGCCAAGCTCAAGCTCACCGGGCACTTGTGAGCGCAGCACTGAGCTCCGAAGTAGTGGAGCTGTAAATAAGCAGATTTTTGTAGAGAAAAAAAACAGTTGGTTTCTGCCTTTGTTGCTGATTTTGGAGTCTTAGTGACAATGTATTGCTATTCTTTTATGCATAGTTGTTGTGAGTGTGGGCTTGTAGAAGTGAAGCTCATCACTCAGCTGCTACGCAGCTTCGCATGTGAAACAGCTACTTCAACGTCAAATATAAAATTGTTATCAAACAATGATTTTTGCTATTTTGCTTCAAGGTTTCTGGAATTTAATTTGTCTTTGTCATTTCTCTATTTTCAGCTCATGAATTGGTTGAAAGTTCTTTTAGTACTTATATTTTTGAGAAATGTATTGGTTTTGGATTTATTTTTATTTTTATTTTCAATTTTTTGTACACTGTTTTCTTGCTAAATTTAAGATGTAGATTTCATCACTTATTATTTGTATTAATGTTTAAGTTATATTCTCCAACTTTTTGTGAAATGAGATTTGGGTTTTGTTAGCCTGCTCAACCAACTCAGTAACTAGTGAATGAAAATATAGACTTTGTATGGCAACATACTACAAGAAACACAACCACTTTCTAATACCCAAATAGATTCTCACCACCTTTAGATATATGTTATGATTGAATCACTGACTTTCAAAGTACCACTGAAACAAATGTCTCAACTACCGTTTTTACGTTACAACACAAAATTCAATAATTGTTTATCACTATTTCAAGGATATAAATATAAATATAAAAAAATGGGTATGTACAAACATGTCTTAGTTTTAATACAATGAAAAGTTGATATCCAGTGTAGAATTAACTAAGAAGAAACAGTTTAACTGTATTTTATTTCGTTTAGTTATGAAACAACTTGTAAGGTTCCTACCGCTTACAACATAAAAAAAAATCTGTTATTTATAATTATCTCAGTTAATTATACATGACTTGTGAAAAAATAGAAAAAAATAGAGTTCATTGGTAAGCATTTGTATAATAAATAAATAAGTTAAAAAGGAATATCCAACCCCATTCCCCTTTGCTCAACTGTTCGTTCTATAGTTATTCATCCAAATATACATCATTCATCCGTCTCCTTGGCTGATGGGCCACCGTTGATTTTGAACGGTCGAGATGAAATTTAACCATCATTCCGGTTCTACCTACGCTACTTGCTACTGCCCAAAATTCACAATGGTGTGAAATCAGGGTTTAGGGTTTTTGGAGCTTGCTGTTGTTGTTGTTTGGACCACCTCTAACTCGGGGGCTTCGACTAGGGCTTTTAGCACTTGTACGAGGGATATGGCACTTACTGGACCTGTGTAGGAGGACGAGAAATCAGGAGCGCTTCGGAGATGAACAACCAGAAGATTTTGCAGCTCGCCAAGGGCTTCCGAGGGCGCAGCAAGAACTGCATTCGCGCGGCGAGGGAGCGCGTCGAGAAAGCCCTGCAGTATGCATACAGGGATCGGCGCAACAAGAAGCGTGACATGCGTGGATTGTGGATCCAGCGCATTAATGCCGGCACTCGTCAGCATGGGGTAAGTTTTCCACACCGCGCAGCGGAGAGGGCTCATTTGATTTTCCTCTTCTTAAGTTTCAATGTAGGCATTTAGAAGAATTCTACTGCTGGCCGGCCTCAGGTTTGCATGACTAGTTTTCTGGTGTTGGAGTTAGATTACATTCTCGTCATTGCTTTCACTTGCCTGCCAGAGCCTTTGCGCTGCTTAGAATTAGATTCTAATCGTAGGTTTCTTCACGAGACTAACTCCAACATTGAATTTGTTCTGGTTTACGCTGAATAAAGTTGTTTTGGTGCAGGTTAACTACGGGGATTTTATGAACGGGCTTTCCAAGGAGAATATTGACCTGAACCGGAAGGTGCTGTCAGAGCTTGCTATGCACGAACCTTACAGCTTCAAATCTCTAGTCGATATTTCTCGCATTGCTTTCACCCAAGTCAAAACCAAGCAGTAGTTTATCCCTGTAGAGTAGCTGTTTTTTGTTTCGGGAAAACTGGCCAACTCGATTCTTAACATGCGATTTGGCACGCTCACAATTCTCAAGCTTTTCGAGAATGTGGCCAATTTTGCAGCTCAGAGGCACAGGGCTATCTTTCTCTCTTGGTGTCTGATACATTGTGAAGACTTCATCACTTCACGAGGTTGTCTATTCACTCATTTATTTTCCAAGTAATGATAGGAACTGAAATCTTGATTTAGCCACAGCTAGATGTGCGGAGGCCTCGTAGATGACCTTGGAGTTTAGAGAATGAATTGACAAAGTTATCAATATATTTGTCCTATTTCTTTATCAACTCGTTTCACTCTGTTCTTTGCTGGATTTAAGAAAAGCTCTTCATGCCAAAAGTAGTGACTTGGTGATGCAGTAGATTGGTTATTACTTCGAAATGGTTCGCTCTTCATTGCCTTTGGAAGATCGGCTATTTTGGGAAGCTCATATGGACAGGACTACTCTCCTTGCTTTTATCCACGTATTATCTATGAGAACTGTTATCTTTCCATGTCCTGAGCGTCAATTCCTCTCATTTACACTGGCGTTTCGCTGCGAAGGGAAGAATTGGATGCTCTCTTGCAATCTCACCTTTCGTTGAGTCTTTCACCTCAATGTCTTCACCGCTACCTTCCGGCTGGCAATTGAATGGCAAACTTGCTCAGCAATGTCGTCTTGAATTTTCCTTTCACGAGGGCAAACCTCAAGCGGCTGTGTAAGACGAGATGGACAACTATCTGTTTGGTCATCCTAACCAACAGGTTCCTACCTCACATGTATGTCAGTGGCTAAGGCGTTCCAGCGGTTTTAATTTAAGTGGGACACGGGTATCCTCAACGGGCGCGGGTTTTAATCTGTGCAATGTGCGAGGATTGAATGAATAATACATGTTTTCACCGTATTCATACTTCGTATATCGCTTCATCTTGAAGACGTTTATCTTGCATCGTCAAAGTCGTATTTTCTGTCTACGTCATCTCAAACCCCATATTGCTAGTGCATAAATAGTTATATCTCGTGGTATTTCGGAAAATGTTGAGGTTGTTATGTGAATTGCTGTGTGTTCTTTCTGATATACATGCACTTTCTTTCTTTCGAATCTCATCTTCTATTTGCAACCTAAACCAATCGGAATAATTCTATTACATCGAGTTATGTGGAGTGCAGTTTAGGGTGCATTAAGTCATGATGTGATTTCATCAGGATTTGAGGGTCTGATCTTTTGTTCGTTGGTGGATGTCACCAAGAGAACTTTTCACTTTGTGTACCTTGAGGGACTTTTGTTGATAAGTGTATTCGGGCTGGAAGTTGCTGTTCTTCGGCGAGAAACAAGAGGACATTTTCAAGGTTGTCGGCGTAATTGTTTCTTTGGAAGTTCATTAACTGTTTCTTGCATGGCTACTGTGTTTGTGAAGGCCGAATAGGGCCATCATTACTGTTTTAGGTCAGCTATCGAAGGATTCTTTCAATGTGATATTTAGGATATTGAAGCATTACATGCAGCACGTATTTAAGATAAAAAGAAGATGAGGCTTTTGAATTAATGGGTCGTCACGCTGGAGAACCCGGGTCGAACTTCCTTGAAGCTGCAAAGGAGAGAATGGCCAGCCCTAACTTCTGCAAGTTTCCTCCGTTTCCTAGCTTAGCAAGCAGTTCGCCAAGTGATTCTTGCGATGAATTGTACGAAGGATACAACGACTATGATCCCCAGCTACATCATACTTATACGGGTCCGCAAAGCCAGGTAATCGTCATGTCGCACACTTCGAAATGATTATTACTTGCATTGAATCTCTCACTCGCTACTCAACATACGGTCATTCTTCATTTCCTGGTCACCACCCAACTCCGTCACTTTCCGAGGTTGGGGAAATGTTGAGATTTATGTAGCATTGTGTTCGTTCGTTTTTGAGAATGCTTCCGGTAGCCATTCTTGATGTCACCCTGAATTGAGCACTGACAATATGGAAATATTTACATAGATTGGATCATTTGGAGAGGGTCTTGGAAGCAAGACGGATACAACTGGGATTTATGACCACGGATTGGCATACAGCCGATCGTCGTCCGCATCTGACGTTCAGGTGATCATCTTTAGAATCCTCTAAATTCAGCTGCAAATAATTTTATAGAGAGTCCTCAGAACGATCATTCTGAACTTTTGCATACGCTGGTGCACGAAATAGGGACAAAAGCTGGATCCTTTCGCCAAGACCTTGACTGCAGGCACAACAGCGTCGATGATATGGCGGCCTCCCAGTACCTGCGTGAGCAGCCGGGCGCAACACAGTCCCTTCTTCTTCACGGATTCTTCGCGACCTATGACTGCTATTCGTGCCGCAGGCTACTCATCTAGAGTAATTCCTCATAATATGCCTCGTGCTCCACTTTATATCTATTACTGGTGTTTCAAGAATGTTTCGAGGATGTCTTAATGCACATAGCTGGTGTTGGTTTGGGCGTGATACTCTGAGACGATCAACTTGGTTGAACTTGGTCGATGTAGGGAAGCAAGTTTGATCCTATGAACCAGGGCGCCCCAATCTCGACGTCTGGATCACAGAAGAAAGAGGAGGCCAATCCTGAGTATCAATGTCGAGAAATAGAGCGAGCGGTAAACCAGCTGCTTGAAGCGAGTGCGGCCGCTGGCCTTGCTGTAAGGTCTGCTCAACTCTGTCTAACGGTGCATTCAGTATCATTCAGCTTGCCTTTGACTATTTTAGGTCTGATAAGATTTCTACCAGAGTTTCTGCTTGGAAATGTGATGGAACGGTTATAATTCAATAATCACAGGTATGCATGATGATAGGAATAAAACTAAGTTTTTGTCATTGAAATTGAAACCTTAAGAGGGAAGTTGTACAGTTTTTCTGTCGTTGATTTAATGCACTATGGATCGAAGCTTTGATACTTAATGTGTACTTAACCATTGCTGAAATCTTATTTAGATAATGTTGTTCAGTGCTTAAGAATCTTTATTAAAATGAACGATGATCAATCCTTTTTTGAGCAGCAGAGTTGTCTGTGCAACTCACGAGTGGTACAGATGGCTTGTGAGAGCAGGGGGATTTTCAAACAGCTCTTCAGAAAGCTAAGGAAGCAGGCAAAAAAGATAGGGCTTTGTGTCGAACCAGGGAGCAGGCAGGGTTGGTAAAGTTTCTAATATTTTATGAATCCTTGTTGGTTGCCCTTTCAGTGGTAACCAGAAATTTATTTTTTTCCCGATACCCCATGAATTAGATGAACTTTTGATGTTTGAGTTGCGTGACTCTAGAAGGCCATCACAGTAGTGGGTTTGTTGATGCAGGCTGATCAAATGAATATGGAGCTCACTTTTGCTGTTTGCTTCAACCTAGGATACCAATATCAATGTGGTGGTCTGCAGTCAGAAGCTTTGAATACTTACACTCAAATTATGAAAAATAAGCAGGTAAATCTTTCATTAATGGTTTTGAATATTAGTTGGCCATCGAGTTAGTGTGTTGTACTATATGATTTGAGTTTAACTATTAGTAATCAGATTCAGTACACGGGTATGAAGCTGCTGCTTGATTTCGAGAGAATAAGGATCAATCATTAAGTGGTTTAAATAAGTGGTTTAAGAGATAAAATATTATATGGATTTTCCAGATTTATATTTAATCGAGATTCACTTCCTGAGCAAACTTGTTTAGTGAAGGTGAAGCTAATTGAAAATATTTATGTATTTCAGTTCACCCATCTCGGTAGATTGAAGGTAAACATGGGGAACATTTACTACAAGCAGAAGAATTTTCCATTGGCTGTTAAGATGTATCGCATGGCTCTTGATCTAACTCCCAGTGCTTACAAAGAGACTCGCTATAGCATCTTACGAAATATTGGCAATGCCTTGATGCGATTAGGCAAATATCAGGTTTCTTTTCTATTTTATCTTTCTTGTAGTCGTCTTCTGGCTCCGTTCCAAGACTGTCATATAAAACACATCCAAAACCTGAACTGTTCGTGTTATTCATTATATTCACAAATTCACTTGCAGAAGCTTTCATATGAATCATTTCCGTTGAATATTACTTGATCAGGATGCAGTCCAAGCTTTCGAGTTAGTAATGGAGAACAAGGTTGACCATCAGACTACTTACAATCTCATAGTTTGCTACTACGTCCTCGAAAACACAGAGCAGATGAAGAACTGCTTCACAAAAATGCTGCTTGTGAAGTACTATGACTCTGATTCTGATGACGAAAATGATGATGAGAACTCCGTTTTGCGGGTATACCCTTCTCCTGTATTAGTCACATTGCTATTAGTTGAACACATCGACACCTATCCATCTCAAGCAGCACAATTTATTTATTTATTTATTTTTCCTGTAATGTGTTGTACAGAATAACGAGCTACGGGAAGAGTTAAGGACAAAGCAAAATCAGGCCTTGAAATACATCTCAACTGCAGCAAGACTCATCGCACCTGTGCTGTATCACAACTTTGTGGAAGGGTATGATTGGGTTGTAGAGGGATTGAAAGATCAACAGTATGCTGCGCTGGCAAATGAGATGGAATTGGAAAAGGCTATCCAGCATCTGCATCGGCGAGACTTTACCCAGGTAGCGATACTACTAAATGAACAACGTGAATTGATTATGGATTTTTATCAAAGTACACACGTAATAGGGTTAGCTTTAGTAATTTTAGCACGCCGTAATTAAGTATTAGACAACGTGTTGTACGCGATTCAGGCTATAGTGCTCCTGAAGGATTTTGAGAAGAAAGAAAAGGACTTGAAAGCCCGTGCAGCAACCAACTTATCTTTTCTATATTTCTTGGAGGGAGACATTTCCAATGCTGAGAAGCATGCAGAGGTTGCTGTAAAAACCAACCGGTATAATGCACAGGCGCTTGTAAACCAAGGCAACTGCTTGTACAGCCGGGTATGGATGTTTTCCGCTTATTCCTATTAACTGTAATGAAAGTAGCTCGTTTCCATATATTGTGAACTCAAGGCTGTCAATTCCCAACAGTACATTAGAATCATGTACCGTATGCAGGGGCGCGTGGAGGAAGCTAAGGCAGTGTATCAGGAGGCAGCAGAAGTAGAACTTGATTGTGTTGAGGCAGTCTATAATCTTGGACTTTGCCACAAGAGACTTGGTGCTCTAGGAGATGCCCTATCTACCTTCAAGAAACTCAGCAACTCCATACCCAACAGCATCGAAGTCTTGTTCCAGGTCATGTAGCGTTCTTTTACTGGGAATAATTCTTCTTACTTTGATAGGCTTAAAGTTCGTAAATTCATATTTAAAGATTTCACGGAAGTGCTCTTACCAGGTTGGAGATGTTAACGGGCTGATGGGGAATATCAAGCAAGCTATAAAGTGCCTAGAGATTGTTAACACACGGACCATGCACGATCCAGGAGTTCTAGCAATGTTAGGTCGCCTGCATGCCAAATGTGATGATGAACCCAAGGCGTTATATTACTACAGTGAGTCCCATAGGGTATATCCCGCTAACATGGACATTACGTCGTGGCTGGGTGCCTACTATGTGAAGAATGAAGTTTACGAGAAAGCCATGCCCTTCTTTGATCTTGCGTCGAAGCTTCAACCAACTGAGGTCACCCTCTGACTAGATTCCGGAATTGTTAATGAAATGACTACTAAATGACGTAGCCATTGTCCTCCATGGCGAGAGGATTAATTGATGGATACACCCGTTTGTTTTTCCGTTTGGAACAGATCAAGTGGCAGTTGATGGTTGCGTCATGCCACAGGCGAACAGGTGCCCACACTGAAGCTTTGGCAAAGTACAAGGCGATTCTCTCAAAACATCCGGACAACACGGAGTGTTTGAGGTATTTGCTGCACATGTGCACGGGCCTTGGCAGGAGGGATGAAGTGCGGACCTATGAGGCCCAACTGAGAAAGGCAGAGATGGAGTTGGCTTCTGAATCCAGATCTCATCTGCTCAGATTAGAATCTGCCAATGAAGTGCCCTTAAGGTGATCAATGTCTTGAGCCATTGCAGGAATTTTTCCTGTACATGTATTTTTAGATGAGTGACCATAGGTTGCCTCCTGTGAGTGTATGGTTGCTTTCACATTCTTTCATGCATGTGACCGTTTCCAAGAACATGAGTGTATGCCCGATTTGAATTCACTCCTTAACATCAATTGCAGGTTTATTGAGTTTCGAGGCGAGTCTCGACACAGCACAAGGGACGACACGTATCTTTCACCCAGATCATCAGAGTCTCCAGGATCGTCCTTGTTTGGATCTAGAGTTTTCAACTCAAACTTGTTCACTTCGTCTTCCGTGTCCTCGTCTCCCTTACCACAGAAGACCTTGCGTGGCTCCACAAAGAAGAAACCACCAGGCCAGCGGGAGGAAGAAGTCTGGCCAGAGCTTGGAGACGACCTCTTGCCCATGTAGCTCCTTGTACATTCATCAGTAAGTGTTGATTGCTTCGATCTAATTCAAACAACTGGAAGAAGGTTTTTGGATCAGACGAAGCTGGAGTTGAGACCGGTCATCCTTCAACCTTCTCTTGTTCTTTTTTTTTTATACTAATGTATCCTGGGAGATTATGCTCGAAGTCCGGGGCGTTCTGAAACGATTCCAAAACAATTCTGTCCAGGCTAGTCTACAATGCATCATGTTCGTTGCCTTGGTGAATGTCTCAGCACCGCAGGTGGTCAAAATGATGTCATGTCGCGGCTCATCTTATCTAAACGAACAATGTTACATGGGTTTGTGAAAACCATACCCAAAAACACCTGTCTTAACGTCCCAACACAGATGTGAGTGATTTTTAGACCCTGAAAGATTACAAGAAAGGACATATGAGTCCAAGATGATGAGAATTAGCTGGCCGGTTCAGTTGCTTCTTTGGCAACGCAGCAGCAGCAGCATGATAAGTAAAGCTTCTGTGGATAAAGGGAAAGTGGTGCATATGGACCCACATCCTCAAACTGAACTTAGTCTGGGGTGGAAGAAAGTGTGATGGAATGGAGTATGCAATCCAAGCAGCAAGTCAAACAAAGCTCTTCACCATTTCAACAAGTCCTGTAGATGCATGTGGTGCAAGTGAGATTTGTTTTAAGAGTAGGTGAACAGACCCACATCCGTTTCCTCAGGTTTGCGGTAGCTTCACCTCAAAAGGTGGCTTTTACAAAAGTTAGAGAAATTTTGTTTAAATTACTAGAAATAATTGTTGACAATAAGAAATAATTCTTTTTATGTGTATTACAATTGTCAAAATCAAGATATGAGTTAACATATTCAAACTTATAATATAAAAAATTATGTGATTCACGTTTCTACTGTATATTATCTTCAAAAACCAAGAATTTTGAGAAAGAGTTTTTCACTACAAAGCTGAATTTTTTTTGTACCATGACTTTTTAAAGTGGGTTTATCAGAATATAAAACCCTTAACTACACTACATAAAAATGTGTTAGGAACTTTAGTAAAACAAAAAAATAACCTATTATTATTATTATTATTATTATTATCTATGGAAGAAATTATTTAATAAAAAAAACATTATTCATATACATGTACACATATATATCCATAGAGTAATTTTATAATGGTCTTAAGGATTTTAAAACAATTTGAGGTGGTCTTATAATAAGTTTATTTAGATCTATTAGAAGAAAAGAAAGAAAAATATGTAAAAGATTAAATAGAGAGAAGAATGCAACAATTAGATCTAATTTTTTTATAAATTATAAGAAATTTGATTTGTTTCTCTCATCTTTTATGTACATGCTAATATAGTTTTAATTAAATAATAATAAAATAATATAATTTATTTAATGCAATATAACTAGCAATATTTTTAATTATAAATACATAATAATAAATAAATAAATGAATAAAAAAATAAAAAATTACTATAAAGTTTTAATAAAAATTAAATATTTATATATGATCTTTACTATTTCAAAGATAGGTGATTAAAGAAGTCATGAAACCACTATAAATGGTCTATGAAATAATTGTGATATTTTAAATTGTAATAAAGTGATACAAAAAAATAATTTAATTTTAAAATTTTGGATATAAACTATAATTAAATTTAACATTGCATAAATTTAAAAAATAGTGGTAAAAATTTGGACTTTCAAAATATGATGGATAAACAAAAATGAATATATTGCATCAAATTGTATTTGATTCATAGACATCTTATAAACCATATATATATATATATATATATATATATATTATAAAATATAAAATATTTGGATTTACTTAACATTTATTTGTTTAATTTCAAAAACACACAAGGCTAAAAATGATTTCAGATGAATAAACTAGTCTATTTAAAATAAATAGTTTATCATAAAGTAACATTATTACCTTCTTACAGTCATTAGTGAATACAATGCTAGTGACAAAACATACAGATTTCTTACATTATTAGAAAACACAATGTTGTTAACAAATTGAAAATTTAAATGATAGTAACACACCATATTGTTGAAATAGAAAAAAATCTTGATTATATATACATATATCACTACTTTGCTACTAAAAATCAGTAAAATTTATTTGATTTTACAACAAGCCTTTACTTTTATAATATGTGTAGAACACAAGTTTATTCTTTAACTAAATGGGATTATTTCATTGAGCTTGTTAATAATTCATGTATATATTTAAGGCCCCAAAAAAAAAATGTCTGTTTTATTTGACTATCTAGTAGCCTAGAACAACCATTTGGTTTAACCACCAACTAATGGTGGCTCGAAAAGGTCAATTGGCACCACAATGTTGACCATTTATATTGGCAAGCACACAACATTTATTAAAACCTAAGAAAACATATTCTTAATTTGTAAAAAAATTGTTGACAATAATTCTTTGATAATTAAAACATTAGTTTTATACCATATATATGTATATATATATATACATATTCATGTATATGTAGCGTGTTATTCATATTTGTGACTGGGAAATAGTGATTCAACTCAGCCATTCTTTATTAATTCTATTTATATGGAACCACCAAATTGGTAGTGTGTGTGCTGGTCACTACCAAGTGCAACAACGTTGTCACTTCGCCAACCATTCTGAGCGGCCAGCGATTAAAGCAGGCTCGGTTTAAAACGAACGTCCAGTCCTGAGGCCAGGAGTACGCCACCAATCGGTGTCTGTTTTCTGTTGACACTTCCGAAAGCCAAACAAATGGCTGCAAATGATCCCAACCAGCCGCATTACCTCAAAGGAGCTCCGCAATATGAATGAGCTTATGTACATACGTGGACGTCATTCATCCATCAACCACATCAACCAGTCCACCATAGCTGGACCCCTGAAGCTGGTCCTTAGGTACGGGTCCTACGTGGCAAATTCTGTAAACGTAACTTGTTTAATGGTTTCATACGTGGCAATAGGAACAGTTCGATTCGCTAGGGATACTTGATGCTAGCTGGAGAATATCCGTGGTATGGTATGGGATCGTCAACCCTACGTGGCGGAGCATGAGGCTCGGAATCTTACCGAAGCTAAGCTTTGGTCCGTTCTGGTTCCGATCAGGACAGCGCACTGGTCGCTCCTCCCTCCCGCGGTCGTCAGTGTGGATCATGTTAGTACTGCAGTATTCAAACATTTCGCGTCCGTCTTGCCCCGAATCCCTCTCACGTTGAGCGGATTTTGTTGATTGCTGCTGCATCTTGATGCATCTGTGACGCAGCTGACGAAATTTCGGGACTGATTTGACCCGTTTTGGCCCATTTTGGGGTCGCAGACAGAGATGGAGACGAAGGGGGTGGAGGACTCTTAGAGGCGGAACGCGTGCGAACGAATTAAAGGGCCGTGTGGTGTGGTTTATATCGCAGTTGCGCGTTTCAATTGTTCTTACGGATTCAAGTCTGGTGCAATCTGCTCTGTGAAGACGCTAACGAGGTTAGGATTGGTGTCTTTTTTGGTTCCGAATTTCTTTCTTGCTCTTACCCTAGACGATACTAAGTACTCCTCGTGAACTCCAGGACTTTTCTTTTTGTTCTTTTTGTGTTTTTTCCTGTGAATGCTGTCGTTTAACATGTGAATATTAGTGAGGTTTGAGGACGGGACTATTCTAGACAACTTATCTTCTTGAACTCAGAAAAGCCGATGTCGGTTCTACGGTCTGTTTGAGGTTGAATAGCGTGTACGGAACACCCGAGCTTTGTTTGCGGTTGCGTGAATGTTTCGCTCCGCTAAATTCGGCTTGCTTTGTTGCAATATAGTTGAAAGATTGTGTAGAAGTTGTTGAGAGATTGTGTTCAAGTCATGTTTAGAATTTCCTCTCCTCGTGCGGTACGCCACGCTGTTAAAGTCTCCCGTTCGTGGCTGCACTCTATTCCGATGATGTTCCGGAAATGATTCCTAGTTCGGGTCAATGGAACGAGTTTCACTCGGGTATACCCCGCAGCCACCGGTGGTGATGAAGACATTTGCACTCCTGGAATCTTTGCGTGGTGGTTTGGTTCTTTTGTGTGCTCGAGTCGTTCGCTAGCAATTGGAAAGATCTCTTTTAAGGCTGCATGTTTCGCTGCTGCTGAGGAATAATCTTTTCAGGTTCTCAGCAACCTGGACGCGATATCCTGCATTTCTGTTCCTTCCGTCGCCTTTGTTACAAGATAACACATATCGAAGTTGCTTAGATCTGTGCAATCGGGATCCTTACAAGCTTGTATGCTCTAGTTCATAAGAGGAGCTGCTTCCTGCGAAGGCGAAGGATGACTTTTAAGTTATTTTTTTCACGTGATAGTATTTTGAAACTCTTTAAGTAGGCTAAACGGGAGGAAAATCTTATTACCGCAATTTTGTTCTCGCAGTTTTTACTGGTTTTTACTGGTGTAAGAAAATCGACATGGCTCCCTGGGATGCCACCGCCGCGGATGCCAGGACTGGCGTAGGAGCCGAGAAAGCTTTTTCGTTCTTGTCCAAGAGCATTTCTGAAGTGCAGAAATCTGCCGAATCCGACATAATGCTCATCAAAGCCCGTGTGAAGTCTTTCAAGAACCTATCTGAGGCGCTCGACAAAGAATGGGAAAGTTTGAAGATTCCTGCAGTGAACAATCTGAAAAATTCCGGAAAGATCTTGAGGATGATGACGGACACTAGCAAACGAACTGCAGGAACTACAATATCTTCTGCAGCCGATTTCGGTTTTCTGAAAAGCCTTAAGCCAACCTTATCTGAATTCCACGGCTTTTTTACTGATTCTGAATTTCAGAGCCAATATCGAGACGACTCCACGGGAATGGATCTCCGGCTTCGGACGTCACCGTTTTCGAAAGACGTGGATTCTGGGCTTGATTTGTTCTCTCGGAATGCACGAGACGGGCTTCAAAATGGGCGGCCTTCTTCTCGAAAGATTACTGATAGGAGAATGGTGGTTAGAGATCGGCAGAAAGGATCAAAGAGGAAGAAATCAAATAGAAAACTAAAACCAGCGTCTGTAGACGACTGGATGGACGATTGGGAACCTTTTCGGCGTGTGAAGGAAAGTGTGAAGGAGAGTTTGCAAGAGCTGGAAAGCACTGCTGCTACAAGCAAGACGCCTTCTGAGTTTTTTGAGAATGTTAAGAACACAGAATTCTATGAGAATGTGAAGAAGAACTTGGTGAGATTGCTTTCTTTGCATCTTCATTATTGTTCTATCCTTTAGAATGTGTTCATACTAAGGAAGTTTATCATTCTTCGTGTTCTTAGCAATTCACACTGGTAAAATTAAGTCAGTTTTGCATTCTTATGTTGCAGAAATTGTCATCGAGCGCAGACACAAGTAAGGAGCAATATGGGTTGAATGTAGCGCCTTTGGATGTGCCAGAGTTGCTGGAGAATTTAGTCAGGCAGTCTGAACCTCTGCTTGATCATCTTGGTGTCAAGAAAGGTGCGTTTCTAGCATCTTCTACCGAGTTGAAGGTCAATAAGGGTATTTTCTTTCATGTGAAAGTAGTTTCTGAGAAATCTCAGTAAATGTTGTCGATACATTTCTAAATTGGAGCAGTCGTTTAACGAAGGGTTTTTTACGCACGAACACGATTTCCCCTTATATTAATGCGTCTGATCGATGGCTGCACAGATGTCTCAGAGAAAGTTCGTGATCTTATAAGAAGTTGCAAGAGAGAAGATCAACAGCTATTTCGTCCAGCGTCCAAAATGAGAAAGGATTCTACTAAAAATCAAGACAATCTGGATCTGCGCATAGCTAGTGTTTGTCAAAGTACAGGCTACAGATACAAAGGGGGTCTATGGAGTGATCACGAGGATGCGAAGGATTCTCATGATCAAGATTGTCGTCGTAACATAGCAATTGTCACCACTGCAAGCTTGCCATGGATGACCGGGACAGCTGTAAATCCACTCTTTCGGGCTGCTTTTCTTGCGAAGACTGGAAAGCAGAATGTTACCCTTCTAGTGCCTTGGTTGTCCAAGAATGATCAACAACAGGTTTACCCTAATCGTATGACTTTCGATTCTCCCGAGGATCAAGAGAGTTATGTGCGTGACTGGGTGGAAGCTCGTGTTGGATTCAAGTCTGACTTCAAGATCGCATTTTATCCTGGGAAGGTAGGTGCAGTGATTAGCTGAGTTCTTGAAACTATTCAGTATGCTTGTATCATCGCCTTTTTGATACGTTCTAGTGAATGCGAACAACTCTATTCTTTCGTTAGTCCTTGTGTCATTTTATTCATTTTCACACGCCTCAGTTGTGAGACATTCAAAGGGTTGATGAGACGTGGCATTTATTTCACATGCTGGTATCCTTATGTTGTACAAATGTTGGTATTGCGCACAGTTTTCAGTTGAGAAACGAAGTATCTTAGCAGCGGGCGATATTTCTGAGTTCATTCCAAATGAGGAAGCGGATGTTGCTGTGCTCGAGGAACCCGAACATTTAACCTGGTATTATCATGGGAAACGCTGGACAGACAAGTTTCAGCATGTCGTTGGAATCGTTCACACTAATTACTTGGAGTACGTGAAGAGAGAGAAAAATGGAGCAGTCCAAGCCTTTTTTCTGGAGCATATCAACAACTGGATGGTTCGTGCGTATTGCAACAAGGTACTCTCCTTTTTTTTTTTACCGTCTTTGCCTTGTCTGAATTGCGCGCGCAATTCTGCCTTTTCTATTTATTTACACGCATTTTATGTTTCGAATATTATTCTACCACAAAAGGTCTTCCGTGAAAACGATTAGATCAATCATTGGGCCTGACGTTGCAATCAATGCTTTTAACATGTTTATCGTCCTAGTTTGGCCTATTTGGTCATGTGTAACGTACTTCTATACTTGCCAGGTACTGCGACTCTCAGCAGCTACTCAAGAATTGCCCAAATCCTCGGTTATGAATGTCCATGGGGTTGGCCCGAGATTCCTGGAGACAGGCAAGCGACTGGCAAGTGAAGCTCCAGACGGGAAGCCTACATTCTCGAAGGGTGCCTATTACTTGGGAAAAATGATTTGGGGGAAGGGATACAGGGAACTTGTTGATCTTTTTGTGGACAACAAAGATCTGCTGTCCAATGTGGAACTCGACGTCTTTGGAAGCGGTGAAGACTCTCATGAAGTCCATGCCGAGGCTCAACAGAATGGTCTACGCATGAAATTTTATCAGGGGCGAGACCATGGCGACAAATCACTCCATGAGTATGACCTTCACTTTAGACAGTGCTTGAATGCTCTTTTATATTCCAATCATCATGTATTTTACATCTATACAATAGTCTTTGCATCGGAGTTTAGTTCATTGTTTTTTCTTTGACGAGTTCTGCACCTTTTGTCTTGTGCAGTTACAAGATTTTCATAAATCCAAGTTTGAGCGATGTTGTATGCACCACTACCGCAGAGGCTCTAGCGATGGGCAAAATAGTGGTGTGTGCAGACCACCCGTCCAACGACTTCTTCCGATCCTTTCCCAACTGCTACATTTATCGGACACCTGAAGAGTTTGTCGAGAAGGTTCAGCAAGCTATGTCCTCTGAGCCAGAGCCTCTGTCTCCTGAGCTTCAACATCTCTTATCATGGGAAGCTGCCACAGACCGGTTCATCGACTCAGCTGGTATTAACAAGCTGCCACCCAAGGGTGCCAAGAAGTCAAGACCGAAGGAACCAGTTTTGTTGAGTGAGTGGGCTTAGCTACTTTTGAGTTTCTGTCTGTCTGTTTTTTTTTTTTTTTTTTTTTTTTTGGTTGAGATTGTTTTAATCTGTTCTATGAAGTGGATAGCTAGATTGTCTCTTTGAACGTTCTTATCAGGTCATAATTTTCTGAGTTGCTTTTAACAGGTGAGGGAGTGGAGCAGAAGACAATGACATTATCTACATCGACACCAGATCTTGCTGGTATTGTGGATAAGGGTCTCTACGTCTCCCACTACTTGCTGGCTGGCATTGACCCATGGCGGAGCTTGATGGGAGCACTTCCAGAGACAAAGCATATTGATGCTCAACATTGTAAGGATCTAGGGTTGCCACCTCCTCATGTACAAAGGCCTGTGTATGGCTGGTAAAGAACAGATTGAAACATATTCCTGTCTGAATCCGCTACACGAAGGGAAAGGATTGGTGGTAATTGCTAAAGCTTTCACTGCAAAATCGGAGAGGAGGTTGGGACAAAGAACCGGGGTTTGGTCACATTCGAACGCGACGAAGCCAGATGGTTTTCTAACGCATCATGGGAAAAGACTTCCTTTGTCGGTTGTAATTTTGCTGCGCCTTCATAGAACTGCTACGGGACTATACATAACAAATCGAGTGTATGGTATGAAGAGCGACAGGGTTGTTATGTGTGCAATATTCTTTTGGTAGTAGCTACGGGACGGATTTGGAACGGAAAAGAGAGCAGTGGTGTTCTGCAAAACCAGGTTCAAATCCACTGCCCCGGAGATTGTACATTATCAATTTTCTTGATAGTCTCCAATTTTCATGTTTTGTAAGTCAATTTCATGCCCCACTGTTGGGTGATGGCTTATTTTTTCCGACATGATTAGATTTCTGCACTGTGCTCAATCGATATAATACTTTTCAATTGCGTTGTCGAAAAAACAAACTATTGTATATGTTGAATTCACAAAAAGAGATTCGACGTTTGTATGATAAAAAGGTGCCCATACGAGAATCTTCATTACTTGATTGATTAACTGTTCAACCAAATTATCATCTTGTTTATATTTAACCCATTGATGAGTAAAACACCTGTGTACCTAACACAATACGAAAGTCTGAAAAGACGAACTCAGTGATACGAACACAAAATGTAATTTTTTGCCTCAACATGTCTTCAATATAATTCTACTACCATTATTCTCGTGCACTCAAAATCTAATACATGTACAAATATTATAGCAAATGAATTACTTAACAAACTGCAATATGTGCTTACTCGTTATATACAAATGTTGTAGAATAATGACCAACAAGAGAACTGGATTGATTAGCTTTCTATTGATCCAGTGCTCTCCATTGTTTTGTGATATTTTTGATGTAGTAGAATCAAAATTTCCAAGATAGATTTCAGAAAGAGAATTACTACTTTAACGATTACATTTTTGCAAATTGTTGGTTCTCACCGTGAACTGTAATTTAAAAATAAATAAATAAATAAATAAATAAATAAAAATGTCCTAATGTCGTATTTGTTTACTTTCATGTTCGAAGAGGAAAATACGAAAGTATATTAACACTTAAATGTGCATCTATGGCAAACATTTTAACACCCGAAACATATTCTTCGTCCAAATGGAGAGCCTTCGTCTCCGACATGGCGAGGACGAAGCAACTTGTCTTCATCGCTTGATGACCAAACTGATGCTCCGATGCAGAAGGATGGCGAGAAAACCACCCCTCACCTCGAAGACGGGGAGGTCATGCTGAAGTAGAAGAAGAGCACTCACAAATTGAACGGCGAAGCTCATGGCTCTGATCGGGATGGCGGCTTCCCCCTTCAATTCGAGCACAGGGATGAGCTTCGTTCTACTCTCCACGCTGTGCGAGCTCTAACGACTTGGGCACGCAGCCCTCCGCGCTCCTCCGCTGGGTTTAGACATGGGGGTCATCAACTTTAGTCGAGTCTATGTATAACCGTGGTTGAGATGATTCACAACACTGGATTGTGTTGTAGTCACACGCTGGCTTTCTAGGGTGGGATCAGGGTTTTAAGGAGGGTAGATAGGGCGCAGTTGAACCTGTTGTGCTCCTGAATGTTTGCACGTTGCGGTTGATGATGTAGGCCACGACGCCGATCACCACGAACCAGCTCGCGGTCCAGCCCTCCATCTGCTTGTACAACTTACAAAAGCTGTGAGGCTCATATTTTTGATGAATCTAGTGGAGGAAGTCTTAAGTCAATATGCAGAGAGAGAGCGAGAAACAGAGGCGATTGATGACTTATGGATAGATCATGTCTTGGTTAGCACTTTTGGATGCCGTACCGTGTCATTTCGGCCTACTGTGTAAAAGTGTCGGTGGACTCGATCTGCAATTGGTTGCAAATCTGCACAGAGAAACTCCGAATAGGGAGCATTCAGATCTCAGCTCAGAGAAGCAATCTGTTCTTAGAAAACGAAGCTATGTGAACAAGGAAAATCAGGGCAGGTGTGAGGTTGTGCCATGCCGCTATTGATTAAGCTGTATTCCAACCCGCAGCTGCCTTGAAGGACTTTCTCGTCTTTCACCGAATCAAACCCCTGTTGCCAAAACAATCCCATTCCTCAGTTCCCAAAGAGGTGTGGAACTTTCCTCCTTGAGCAACCCTCTCTATAATTCGATCATTAAATAGGCCTTCGAGCAATAGGTAAGTGAATGCCTCGCAATTTATGGTCGTTTTATGGAATTTGAGATGCCGAGGTAGATCTGCCTCGCACTGCCATTTAGGGTTTCGATCGTTCTTGATATTCGAGCATTGCACCATTGCTACGCCCCCCACGTTTGCATGACAACACCATGGTGAATATCTTTCAAACGCTAAGATGATTTCCTCATCTGATTGAAGCTTTTAAGCCTACCAAGCTGTTGCAAAATGATGCTAAAAATTTGGATCTGTTGGTTTTCTTTTCAGGTTCAGGAATGTTCAGTTTGGGATGTATCAGTACATCATTGAAAATATGTAAACGATGCCTTTCGATCTTCTGACATCCCATGAAAAACGATGTGCTATCTATCCATCTATTTTCATTTACTAAATCACAGTAACAACCTTGTAATCGGTATGCAACTGGCTACGAAACTTAGATTGTAATCTCCGAACAACCCAAATTCAATTTTCTACTGTGAAGGATATTCTTTCCAGGCAACAATTGCGACAAAAAAATGCATGAAACTCACAGGGCTCATAATTATCACACCCTTCCAAGCACCGAAGCTGCGGAATCGGCTCCGCCCTCTTGTACGAGGTATTGAGCCCTTTGTGAAATTCCATCTTCTTCATCTGGTTCACGAACTCCGACTCTGCGCCGTGAGCTTTCAAAGATTCCCTCGGCGCTCCTTCCTCCAACGAAGCCGCAGCACTATTAACCTGCAGGGATTGGGACTGCATTGCTGCAGATTGCGTGAGTTGATGATGCCCACAGGCAAGAGCAAGGAGCATCCCCAGCCATCCGACCACGATCAGGACCCGCGTCGCAACCCCGCTGAGTCTCATGCTCTTGTCTCATGACATCGGCGCACAACCCACAAATTCCACCGAAGTCCTCTTGCTTGAGAAACTCGGCACCCCACAATCTCTAGTCTCAGGATTCAAGCACACTGTCGGTTACGGATCACGCGAGGTTGCAAGGAGTGCTCGTCATTGAGGCTGAGAGCGGCACTGCGAAGAAGGGCAGTGGAGCGACGCGAGGAGCATGAATGATGCGTCTACGGGCACCCAATCCCGTGAGTCCGCGGTGTTGGCATCTCCAAGGGCTCCCAAAGTATCCTTTTCTATATCCTAAGTGTTTTCAACGTATTGGTCTGAAAACCATATTATGTGTTGAGAATGTTTAGAAAGGCACAAGAGTAGTAGTAAGTAATACACACACACAAGAGTAGTTGTAAGTCATATACACAAGACGGTTTCTAAGGAGAGAGAGCTTCACACATAAAAATCTATTGATCTCGTTGTGTCTTGTATACAAGAAGAGAAAGGGGAGAAGATAAATAGTTCTTTTCCACTAGACTCTAAATATTGTAGCTATGGTATTTACTGTAGTCTATAGTAAATATTATGGAGAGCGCTGGCTACATTTAATGCTCTCAACACTCTTCCTTATTCATCATAATATTTACATAATATAAAATTTATATAGAATTATGATCTATATTTTTCTGTGAACTTGCAAGATCAACAATTGTTGCTTCATTAAAACCTTATCTAGGAAAACCTTATTGTATTTAAGGATAAAACCATAGATGAAGGAAAAAGAGTACAACATCATTTTCTTTAATTATTTAAAGAACTCATTAACTTTCTTATTTAAGAAAAGCAAGTTGGGGCATATCAATGCCATAAGCAAGTGGATGATGGTTGCACAGTGGGAGAGCTTTGGTGAAGAGATCAGCAAGGTTATTTGTAGATTCTATTTTCTTAATTATAAGTGTTTGATGAGTAATCAAGTCATGGATATATTTTTAAATACTTTGGATTAATATGCTTTGTCCTATCGCCTTTAATGAAACCAACTTGCATTTGTGCAATACAAGCACTATTATCTTCATACAAAATAATTAGAGAATCATCATATGAAAATCCTTAAGTTGTTTGAATGAATTTATCAATTGATTGCAACCAAATACATTCTTGAGATGCTTCATATAAGGCAATAATTTCTGCATGGTTGGATGAAGTTGCATTTATTGTTTGTTTCACTCATTTCCATGATATTGCAGCTCTATGTCTTAAAAATACATATCTTGTTTGAGATTTAGCTGTTGTAGTATCAGATTTATATCCTCCATCACAATATCCAATTAATTTTGGATCTGCAGATTATGTGTAGTATAATCCCAAGTCTTTAGTACCTTTTAAATAATGTAATAAATGTTTGATGCCATTCCAATGTTGTAGTGTTGGATGTGCACTATGTCTTGCAAGAACACTAACTGCAAATGTAATATCTGGTCTTGTAGATGTAATTAAATATAAAAGTACTCCAATCGTTGCAAGGTATGGATATTGATCTTCCAATATTTCCTCTTCCTCCTTGCATGGACGTTATAGATCATGACCATCACGAGCACGTCCAACCATTGGTGTGGACAATGAATAAGCACCAATCATATTAAATCTTCGCAAGATTCGTTTAATATATGTTAGTTGGTAGAAAAAAATGCTACCATCTATTAGATGCATAATTTGAAGACCAATGTTGAAAGTTATTTTTCTTAGCATTTTTATCTCAAATTCATGTATAAGTAGGTTAGTAGTTGTAATACATGCAGATGTAGTGCCTACTAGGTTAAGATCATCAACATATATAGCAATGATTACAAAACCAGTTTTATTTCGTTTGATAAATAAACAATGGATTAGTAGATCATTTACAAATTTATTTGTAATTAAATAATCTCGAAGATGTTGATACCTTATGTGTCCAAATTTTTTTAAACCATACAAGGCCTTACATAATTTAATACCATGATATTATCTTGGAGCACGTCCATTTGGAATTCCTATTTCTAAGCCAGGTGGAACTTTTATATAAATATTTGTATCAAAAGAACCATATAAATATGCAATTATTACATCCATCAAATGTATCTCAAGGATGGCATGAACTATCATCCCAATAATATATAGAAATGTAATTGAATCCATGACTAAAAAATATGTGGATTCATAATCAATGCCAAATTATTGAATAAATCCTTAAGCAAGAAGACAAGCTTTACAGCGGGTTATTTGACCTTGAGCATCTTGCTTGCATATTAATACCATCTTATATCCCACAGGACAAGATGTAAGAGTATCTACAATTGAACCAAAGACTTTCCTCTTATGCAAAGAAGCATATTCCTCCTCAATAGCAATTTTCCATTTTGACCAATCAGAGTGACACATTGCCTCTTTGATGGTTTAAGGTTTAGGATTGTCTTCCTCACAAGAAAGGGCTTCTATAATCATACATGCAAATGATTCATCTACCATAATAGATGGTCTGTCCCAAATATCATCTGTAATATAATACAAAATAAATAATTCTTTACTCAACTTGTTCTTATTCTTTCTAGTTCAAAGATTATTTTTCATAGGAATTGAAGGTACATTATGTATGAATATATCATCATGAATTGGTAGTCCCACAAGATGAGTGGCAATTTCTTGAGAAATAATACCATGATTAGTTAATATTATAGCTTTTTCTTACATGGTTGCTTATCTCGTCCATAAGTTCTTTTAGTTGTTATTATAACTTGAGGTATTCTAGTCAATGGCACTGCAATCTCAGAAAGTGCATTCTAATCCTCATTAATATGAACTCTTGTAATCCTAGGTACATCATTAAAGCCATCAGATGTTTCATCTATAATCCGTTTTAGATGTAAAATCTTAAAAACTTCAGTTTCTGTCAAAGATGTCTTAGGATTGGGATTCATTGTAAATATTTCTAGTGCTTCAAATATAAGTGCTTTATTTCTTTGTTGATTGGATACTCTTCTTTGAAGAGATGGAAATACATTTTCTTCAAAACGACAATTTTACAAACATCCACATAATAATGTGCCAATTGATCGATCAACAATACGAATAATGCTTGGTGAATCAAAACCAACATATATGCCTTCTTGTCAATGAGCTCCAATGGTATGTCATTGAGGTTCTGGTACTGGAATCCAAGCACGGCAACCAAATACTCGTAAGTGAAATATATTTGGAATACAATCCAAAATGAGCTCATGTGGTGAAACAATTTCAAGAGAAGAAGGACGGAGGCATATTAATGTTGCAGCATGTAAAACTGCATGACCTCACATAGATACAAGTAAATTTACGTGAAGGAGGAGTGGCCGGATAATGAGTTGTATATGCTTTATAAATGGCTCTGTAAGTCCATTTTGAGCATGTTCATATAGAACACAATATGTCAACTTAATTCTTGTTACAGTATAATAGTCTTCAAAAGACTTTGATGTGAATTCTTTTGCATTATCTATACATAATGTTTTTATAGGATAATCAAGAAAATGTGCTTAAAAACAAATAAGCATAGATATAAGATTGGTAAATACCATGTTTTAAGTTGATAATAATGAAACATGTGATTGTTTACTTGATGCATCAATAAGGACCAAAAAATAACGAAATAGTCTCGATATTGGATTAATAAGATCACAAATATCACCATGCAATCTTTCAAGCATTGGTAGTAATTCTTGTGGGAGTTTCTAAATTGAAGGCCAAGTAATCATTTTACCTTGCACACATGCATGACATAATTCTATAGAGTCTACATCCGTAGGCTTTAAATTATGTCCAATTATACATGGAATGATCCTTCTAAATAATATAGATCCTGGATGTCCCAATCGTCTATGCCAGAGAGAAACACAACTCTCTGTGATAGATGATGCAAAATTAAATATAATAAGAAGCCAAATCACAATTTGGTATAAATCATTTTCTGTAGCAAAAGCTTTTTTAACAACTTTATGGTTCTTTGCAAGAATCAAAGCCTCTTTTCTATTTAAAATGGTGGTTAAGAGGTGATAACCATTAATATGCACATCTCCATAGCTAACCAAACTTTGAAGTATTGAAGGTGCAAACATTGCATGTTTACATTTTATGATGGAACCCATAGGTAATTTTACCATCACTGGGCCCTCTTCAAAACAAAACGTATTTGCTCCAACCATGGTCATCATATTTTTAGTTTGCGAAGTTGAAGATTTTTCAATAAAAAATCATCTATCTTGCAAGATAGTATGTGTTGTTGCAAAATCAATGAGCACATCATTTGATTCATCATTAGATGTTTTGTCATTCATTTAAGCCTCTAAGTCATTAACACCAATTGAATCCATCAACATATCTATGGTATGAACTTCACGAGCCTCAACTTGTAATATCTTATTTTTTTTGAATATTTTAATAAAATACTTTGAAGTACGGCACTCTTGTACTAAATATCCAATCATTCCACACTTATCGCAAGAATGTATCTCTAATTTTTGTTTTCTACTATAACTAATAGTAGAACATTTATTCTTTCCATATGGATAGAAATGGTCATGACTATGACTACCCTGATACTTATGAGTACGTTTTTCATGTTTATATAATTTTTTTTTAGACTTTGAAATATTAAGTGCATGAGATTCTGGAACTCTAATTCCAATAGGATGAGCTTCCGCATTACGCAAGAGTAGCTCATTTTTCTTTTTCGTAACAAGTAGATAAGACATGAGATTACAATGACTCTGAAATTTCATGTTTTTATATTATTGTACAAGCTGTCAAGGGCAAGAACTCGATGAAAAAATAATTCAGACAAGTGAGCCTTCATTCAA